TTCTGGGAGAGAAACCGGATCTTCCCGAGTCCCACCAGGAGGACACCCAGACGGACGTGTCCAACAGAAAGGTGGCCAAGCTCTACAAGGTACCTCGGCTAAGGTTCTCTGGGTTCCAGTCGTGATGTCACTTCCTTTTTCCCCTAACATTTGTTCTGGTTTGTCCCGCCGTCCCTTCAGGTGTCCAACGCCGGGGGGGACATGGAGGTCACCCTGGTATCAGAGCAGAACCCGTTCCCCCAAGATGCCTTGGAGTCCACTGAGTGTTTCATCCTGGACAATGGAACCAACGGACAGATCTTTGTCTGGAAAGGTCCGACTCGGTTCTGGATGGGATCGGCTGCGTCCTCTGGACGAGAAGAGGGCGGTGCTCTCTGAGCAGCACTCACCTGAGATCACCTGTTGTCTGTTTGCAGGAAGGGATGCTAACAGCGATGAGCGGCACGCCGTCCTGCAGAGCTCAGAGAAGTTCATCCAGCAGATGAACTACCCCCCCTACACCCAGGTGACCGCCTCAAAGGGACCCTCTCCCGCCACCTTAGAGGGAACCTAAGAGTATCTGTGTCTCTGCCCCCCCTCAGGTCCAGGTCCTTCCCGAGTACGGCGAGACCCCCCTCTTCAAGCAGTTCTTTAAGGACTGGAAGGACGCCGATGACACCGTTGGCATGGGAACGGCCTACGTTTCCAATAAAGTGGCAAAGATCCAGAAAGTAGGTCGATCTGGTTCAGGATCTGATCCAGTCCGTCCTCAAACGGGTCGTTAATGGACCTCTTCTGATTGGACAGGTACCGTTTGATGTGTCAAAGCTGCACCAATCAGATTCCATGGCAGCTCAGTACGGGATGGTGGACAGAGGAGACGGAGACAAAAAGGTGAGAGCTGTCCCTGCTTGACCGGAGTGGTCCATAGCTGGTACCGGTCTGCTCCTCCGGAACCAGGACACCTGGAATGGTTCTGTTACTGTGGATCCCGCTGAAAACCGAGAATCCAGAGATGAAGCTCTCATCTTAGAATAGGATTCTAGATCCGCCCTCGTGGGAGGATCTAGAATCCTAGATCCGCCCTCATGGGAGGATCTAGGATCCTAGATCCGCCCTCATGGGAGGATCTAGGATTCTAGGAGATCAGGGGTCCTGAGTTTGAAGATGCGTAGATTTTCTGCTAAATCCCATTCTACTGTAGAATATGACAGATTACTGGATTAAGGACATTTCTATTATACTACTTTATCACATTAACATTTTTGAGAAGTTGGAAACAGTTGCTTTTTATTTCCCAAAGGGAGGAGGAGAGATTGGAGATTTCAGCTGCCTGAAATAATCCGTTCCTCTTCCATAAGATGGGATTAAATGAACTCACCTGGAATTCTTTAACCGTGTTTATTTCTCTCTTCATTAAACACCAAACTGTGGATTTGGTGATTTGGCCGATCCATTTAAAATCTGCTGCGGAGCCTCTGGACTCCTAAAGCTGTCAGCGATGAGGGAAAAACTTCTCCTTCTGCTGGAACGCTGCAGGCTGCCACCATCTGGTTGATTCCAGTACTGCACATCTGACTCAGATCTGGGGCTCTTGGGGAAACATCCGGGGCTGTGGCCCAATTAGCCCCCCCTGGATCCGCCTCTGGTGGTGGGGATTTAATGACGGAGGGTTCCTACCCAGGAACCGGGTCAGAACGCCTTTGATATGAACCCAGTTGTGGGAAATTGAGCGGTTTGTGTCTGCGTGCAGATCTGGAGGATTGAAGGATCCGATAAGGTTCTGGTGGACCCGGCTTCCTACGGTCAGTTCTTTGGAGGAGACAGCTACCTGATCCATTACCAGTACCATCATGGTGGCAGGCAGGGTCACATCATCTACATCTGGTGAGGCCCCCGCTACACTGGACTGGGTCTGTCCCACAGCTCCACCTGCTGGTGAGTGAAGATAACCTGTCCTCTGCTTCCTCTGCAGGCAGGGGGCGGAGTCTAGTCAGGACGAGACCGGGGCTTCGGCCGTTCTGGCCATCCAGCTGGACGACGAACTGGGAGGTGGAGCAGTCCAGGTAAAACAACTGGGAACGCTGGTCCCACTGGTGCGCTTTTCACCTGAACCCTGATGACTGGGAACCTTCTGCACAGGTGAGGGTTGTTCAGGGCAAAGAGCCCCCCCACCTCATGAGCATGTTTGATGGCAAACCAATGGTGGTCTACAAGGGCGGGACATCCAGGGAGGGCGGCCAGTCTGCAGCTGCAGAGACCCGTTTGTTCCAGGTCCGAGCCAATCCAGCAGGAGACACCAGAGCTGTGGAGGTGAGATGACTAGGATGAGACTAGGATGTGACTAGGAAGGGAGTAAGAAAAATACTCATATGAGCAGCTTTATTAAAACCCAGCAGACGTCCTCCTGCCGGCCGGAAGGTAACGACTGGATTTAAGGCGGAGCTTTTGGTTTATTATTTCCCTCTTTTCCAGTTTTTGGTTTAATGACCTGCAGCTGTTGCCGTAGCGTCAGGTTAGAGTCCTTCTCAGGTGAACCAGCTCTCTATCAGCCCGTTGCTCTGCTGCCCCCTACAGGTGGAGCCGTCCTCCTCCTGTCTGAACTCCAACGATGCTTTCCTCCTGGTGTCCTCCTCTGGATCCTGGCTGTGGAAAGGGAAGAGCAGCAGCTCAACTGAAGCTAAAGGAGCCGCTCATCTGTCCGAGATCCTCCAGGTGACTCCCACCCAGCTGGAGGAGGGGGGGGAGGAAGGTGAGGAGGAGGCAGAGTGAATCTTCTGGAATGACCTGAGCAGGATGATGGCAGCTTCCTGTCTGCTTACAGATGGCTTCTGGGAGGCTCTGGGAGGAAAGGACGACTACTGTCACTCTCCTCGGCTCAGCAACTCCATGGATGCTCATCCTCCTCGTCTGTTTGCCTGCTCCAACAAGTCCGGAAACTTCCAGGTAGGTCACATGGGCTGCGTCCCACCGCCCACCCTGACCTCTGACCCCTCCATCACGACATAAAGAACTGACCGTTCAGATACTTCATCACTACAGTCAAGGTGCATTGTGGGCAATTTCCACTGGACTACTTTTCCACCCAGTGTCACTACACGATCCGTCCCTGAAGCATGATCGATCCGTCCCTGAAGCACGATCCGTCCCTGAAGCACGATCCGTCCCTGAAGCACGGACGATCCGTCCCTGAAGCACGGACGATCCGTCCCTGAAGCACGGACGATCCGTCCCTGAAGCACGGACGATCCGTCCCTGAAGCACGATCCGTCCCTGAGGCACGATCCGTCCCGGAAGCACGATCCGTCCCGGAAGCACGATCCGTCCCGGAAGCACGATCCGTCCCGGAAGCACGATCCGTCCCGGAAGCACGATCGGTCCCTGAAGCACGATCGGTCCCTGAAGCACG